GGGCAGCGTCACTGGCCCTCATATGTGGGATCCGAACCGGGGCCCTCTGGCGTCCCAAGCCAGTTCTTAACCATCGCGCCACTTGGCCGGCCCCCTACTTCGGTTTTTAAAGTAGAAATTTAAAATAATTATCCACTATGATTTTAGATATTGGATAAAATAAGCATCAGGTGCAAATGATGGATGTCAGCCTGTGCTAATAAGATTGCTAATTTTATGACTACCCCAAAGATTTGGAAGATGAAACCATTGGAATTAGAAGAAGTAGCGGTGTTGTAACATGCTGTTCAAGGGTCAACTGTATTTGCATGTCTGCTATGGGTAGCATTACGGCTCTCCCTGCTCCCACCATTAGAGAAGAAGTGTCAGCTCAGATCTCAGTCTGGGACATATCACAGCATAGAGGTTATGAGTTGTGTTTGAGGCCAGACTACCTGGATTTCAAATGCCATTCTATCACTTACCGTGTGAGTTGGGCAAGATACTTATCCTTTTTGTATCTGTTTCCACATCTCTAATATTTGGATAGTTATATCTAATTCACAGTGTGTTATGGGAATTAAATGAGTTCAAGTTTAAAAGCTCTTAGAACACTGCCCATTTCATTGTAATTGCTGTGGAAGTGTTAAATTAATGAAAATCTGGTTAACAGAAGACTATACCTATGAAAAGATAACTCACAATATAAGGCAGTATATGCTGTGTATTACAAGATAAGGGTCCCTAAAGTTCTTCAGGATAGAGAAATTCAGTAGGTTTTATGGGTGGTATAAGAGAGCTTACACATTTAAGGAAGAAGAGTATAGGTCATGAACTGAGCTTGAATAGATGCAGTTCACATAGAAAATAAAGAATTGGCCCAAATTAGAGGGGAATTTTATGAACAAACAGAGTTGGAGGGACTGTATATAGACACAGTAAGTTGGAGAGTACATAGAAAAATACTGGAAGCTATCTTAGGAAGATAGATATGGACAAATTGTGAAGGTCCTTGGATAGAAAGAGAAAGCTTTGAGACTTATTTGTAGATGAGGGCTCCCTAACTTTTATAAAGGGAAAGGTTATGAATGATTTTGTAAAAAGTACTTAACACAGTACTTGGTAGAAAGTAAGCATTCCATAACTGTTAGCTAGTATTAACAATAGTGTAGAAATGACTGTGTATGTTTTCACTGTATAGATGGGTTATATATGTATATATTTTTTAAATTGCCTATTGATGGACACAAATTAGTTCATGTTTTTGTTATAATCAGTGCTGTGATGAACACTTTTTCCATAAAATTGTTTTGTATATTCATGGTTCCTTAGGAGAGACTTCATTCACTCTGTCCCTGAAACTCGCCATGGGAGAGTGGGGTTAAGTTTCAGAGGGGATGGTCGAAAGGAAATGATGGGGCTTTACCAGCTCTAATTCACTCCCCTCTGCTGAGAAATCCCTACAAAACTAATGACAAGTTATGGTATTAGCTGCCTGCAGAGATTTCTTTCAAGCATACTTATTAAAAGTAACTTATTAGAGAACCCTTTTATGAGTTACAGGATTTTTTTTTTAAATCATGGAGATTTTGAGAAGATATTTGGCATGTAGACCAGAGTGTGAGGTGAGATCAAAGGTGTTTATGTTATGACATAATATGAGACTGGTGGTCATAGAACTCTAGAGGATATATGAAGACAAGCTTTAGTAGGTTTTTTTGAGGAATACGTAATGAATGATAAGGGAGAAGGATATTCAGTGGTGATATTTGTAAGATTCTAAACCTCAAATGACTTGGATAATGTGCTCAAAATACTGGAATGGCAAGCTAATTTTGTAAAGAAGACGAGTTGACTTAAAAATATGTTTGAAAGAGAGGCATTTAATATATATTAAATATTTGGGTAGGATTCAGATTTTGAATTTCTTTAAATAGCACTGATATTGAAACCATGAAAATGGTTGCGTTCAAATAAATTACACAACTAATAAGTGACACAACTAAGATTCAAATACAAAATTCTGCTCCCAAGTTCATGTTCTTAGCCCCAGTGCTATAATGAGTGGGAGAAGTCGTTTATTCACATTTGTTGTCATAACATATATTTGGTCTTCTCATTTTTCAGGTTATTTCTTTCATTTTTGCCATTTATTTTATACCCTTTGTGTATAATCTTTATTTGTTTCATTTAATGAAATATCTTTAGTATAGCTTGGGCCTTGAAGGCAGACATTGTTGGATTTGATCTCAGCTCTGCCATTTATTTCTATGAGGATTACTTAGTAAATCACTAAATCTAGAGGTCTTTCTTAGTTCTGATTTTCCTTTGTGTGCATGCAGCAGAAAGTCCTTCCTGAAATCTAGGTTCCTTTTCCTTCAGTAATTTGCCATCCTAGCTTTTTATCTGTTCTACGTTTCTTCTCTGCACTTTCTTCCATATAGATACACCTAAATGTGACTGTCTCTCCATAGCTTTGAATTTGGCTCTTTCTTTCTTAAATATGTCAGCTGTCTCTGGATCTTGATTCTATTTCCTCCTCAATTACTCTTGATTCTGTTCTCTCTTTTCTATCTTCGTGGACTCAGTTCAGGCCCCTGTTTTTTCTCTCCAACTTTGTAATAACCTCCCGTCTCCCAGGTCTAGTCCTGTCCTTTCCTGTCCAGCCTCCCCCCATCCCAAAGTCATTCTCTGAAAGTGTAGATTTTATACTTTCCCAAAGCCAAAAAGCCCTTCAATGATTCTTCATTGTCAACAGTATTGTTTCTTAACACTTATTCCTTAGGATGAACCTAGGTATTTCTCTAGGGAAAAAGAGGTCATTGAGTTTGAGGAATGCTTGTATAAATGCAACTAGTCAGCCTTCATTTTGGCAGAATCTTAATGTGCTAATGTGCATTGTGAATATACAAAGGAGATACAGAGCAATATACAGCATTTCCCAAATATACCTGACTGTAGTATACATTTTTAAAGAAATGTCTACTGTCCTGGAATAGGTTTTGTTAAGACCCACAAGGTAAAGTCCATACTTCTATTCATGGAATCCTAGGACTTTTTTTTTTATTCATTCAACCTTTGCCTATATGTGTAGCCTCATCTCTGGCATTGACCATACAACTTGGAGTTCCCCCGTGGGGCGGGGGAAGTTATGTGTTTCAGGCTTCAGTGGCTTCACCCATCTGTCAGGAAACCCCTACTACAATACAAGTAAAGGGGAGATTGTCACCTTCTCTCTGAAGCAGCCTTTGACTCATCCAGGCAGGCTTGACACTTCCTTTCTTGACCCCCTTGTGGTATACTTGGCAAGACCCTTCATTTTAACAATTATCACAGGGATTGTAATTCTCTACATTTTCATTTCTCTAATAGACTGTAAGCTCCTTGAAGGCTGGAATCATTTCCTTTCATTTCTGTGACATTAGTACCTAGGAAAATTACTAGATATAGGTTAAATAATTGAATGATAACATAATTACAGGAACATTTTGAATAACACCGGTATTCATATAGTTAAGTAAACTACCGGTAAACATTTCTCTTATCTTAAAAATCTCTTAAACTTTTTTATAGTGTATAGGTAAGTTGGCATCAAATTAAATGCTCTAAGAAAACATTTTATGGGGAAAAAATTAAGAAAAAGTAATTATTAATTTTTCTTTGTATTTTTTTATAACATGTTCATAAGACAGTCTTTTTCTTAGATTAGAATTAAGTAATGTTCTGTTTTCAGTGAAAATGTTTAGTCATTAATAAAAACTCAGTGATTACTTTTTCTCCCAGATAACTTGAGTTTCATATTGAGATCATTTATACATCTATATTTTTTTAGTATAAGAAACATTAGTTTATATGAAACATTGTTTAATGTATATCTTTTTTTTTTTAGGCATCATTCTTAACAAAGAAGTTAAATATTGGTGGAAAAAGAGTAAACCTTGCTATATGGGTAAGTTAATTTTTTCAACTCTATGAGTGAAGGCCTCTAGTATTCTTGGTACTCTAATAACTAATTGGCTCAAGGAATTGGAATTTTAGTTTTTTTTAATTAAGTGAAGTTTAGCCAAACTTTTTTTTTTTTTAAGCTGAGCCACCCTGCCACCCATTGGCAGCTCAGCGGCTGCTCAGCTCGGGCCGGGAATCAAACCGCTGTTGCTCAGAGCTCAAACTCCTGAGCGAGCTCTTAACCAACTGAGCCACTCAGCTGGTCCTAGCCAAACTTTTAAAAATAAACGTTTTTTTTCCTAAAATCTGATTAATAATTATATCTTGAATACAACTCTATACATAAAAATTGTTATCATAACTTTTCAGGTGGGTAAGGGGTAACAGAGGGGTTCCATGTCAGAGAAAGGAAAGGACAGGGTGGGTAGACAGCCTGCCTGGCCTTCTATTCCTGTGTCTTTATGTTCCAACTTTCCAAGGGAGCAGTTAGTGGAGAGTAGAACAAGGGTAGTGCGTTAGGGGACCTGTTTGCAGGTGGTCCTGGTGCATGCTATTTCCTTGTCTCCTCCCTGTGTGGGGAGCCTACCTTGAGGGCAAAGCCTGTTCCTGGCGTATAATGCCATCTGGCCATTCTGACCCTCAGGCAACTACTGGTTTTTTAGTGGGGCTGGGAAGGTTGCTGGGGAGGAAGAGGGTTGGGAGGGGAAATGTAATCTTTGCATAACAGTAAACATTAAATACTATTTATAACTTAAAAATTTTTTTTTTTTGTAGCCTGCTTTGTTTCTTTTAATAGTGTTTTGGGGTTATCTGTAGCTTCATGCCCCACTTGCCAATTAATCAAAGTTTACTGTAGTTGCAATAACATGTATTTTCTTTTTTTTCCTCATCTAATAAGTGTTTGTTGTTTTATTTAGGATACAGCAGGTCAAGAGAGATTCCATGCATTGGGTCCAATTTACTACAGAGATTCAAATGGAGCTATTTTAGTTTATGACATAACAGATGAAGATTCTTTTCAGAAGGTATTCTATTTACTTATGGATGGATGACTTAATAGAAGAACACTATCTCCATAACATTACCTATTGTGATTAGTCTTGGTTTTAAAGATAAAGTATAGTTTGTGTGTAAGTGGTGACCACTCATATTTTTTAATGGATTATCTAATTCATGAATATTAGAGTTATTAATAGTTTATTACGTGGTTTTCTCAGATTTTAGGAAAGGGAAATAATCTGAAGTAAGGCTTTAGAAAAATATAGCAGCTTTTCACCCTTCCTGTTAAAAGTAAAATCCCATCATTTCTTTGACTCCAGGCTCCTGAATACTTGGTACGGCAGCACAGGCTCCCTAATTGTGAAGAGGAAAAAGGAATAAATCAAATTTAAGCTCTTTCTCCTCTAAATATTTTGGAGGATATAATATAAATCTTAAAAGTATTCTTTTTAAAGCTCCTCCATTTTTTACGCCCTTCTTTAAACATACATAAATGTAGGATTTTTAAAGTTGGTTGGGATCAAAAAATGAGTTACCTTTAAACTTACCCTCGAATGCTCACCGCAGTCAGGATAGTGACTGGTTACTTCTTTGACCTTTCCTCGGAAAGCCCCTGTTGGAATTTGTCAAGGGCTTGTAACTAAAAGGGGTGATTTCCAAGGCAAAAACTTATCTTGCCTTGAGTTACAGTTTTGTTCTTGTTGAAATTGCTTGCTTTTTTTTTTCTTCTTTTATTTATTTCCCAGTATTTAACCAATGAAGCAGATATACACGTTAACCCTTGGATTAGTAATGACATGTAGAAAAACTTAGTTCACGGAGTAGAAAAATCAAACAATAGGTAGCTTGCAGATTTAACCATATTTTAAAAAGTCATTTGGGGGCTGCTATTTGGCACTATCTGTTGTCCCTTTCTGCCTTTTGGCATTACAAAAATAGTTTAAGTATTTTATTGATTAAGAGAAGGTAGAGTCTCTTGGGCTGAAAAGTGACTATTTATCTCTTGCTACATACCAAAACTCCCCAAAACTTGGTGGTTTAAAATAATTTATTATTTCTCATGATTTTGTGGGTTCTCTGCTCCATCTAGTGTCAGTGGAGTCACTCATGCAGCTGCAATGAACTGGGAGTTTGGCTGGGCCTAGACTATCCAAGAAGGCCTGGTTCTCCTTCTTATGGCTTCTCACTCGACCTGGTGTCTAATCCCCTGGTGCTCTTTCCGCATACTCTCTCATCAGTCTGTGTTCTAGCCTAAACTGCTTATAGCACAACTGGATCCCAAATCTATAGATGCCAGGCTTCTTAAGACTTAGGTCTGAAACTGGCATAGCAATACTTCTGCCATGTTCTCTTTGTCAAAGCAAGTTACAAGGCCATGCCAAATTCTAAAGGAGGGGAAATAGACTCTACCTCCTGATTGGCAGAGAATTTGTGACCATCTTTAACTTACCATAGAATGTATGTGGTAATGAAGAGGATGCCTGTGGAGGGGCATCTTATTAGCGGTGAAAAACAAATTTTCTTTTTTAATTGGTTGGATTTTATAGGTTGTGCTATTATATGTACAGAGAGTAGAGTAATAATGCATAATTGGATTCTGGCGTGTTTCCTTTGAAGTGATTAGAATGCACATTTTATACCAGTACTGCCAAATTTTTCTTACGTGAAATCAGCTAGGGGTGGAAGTTAAATGCTTCTCTGAAAACTTTATACATATATGTGAGTGAAACAAAAGGACGGGGCTATGAAAAAGAAAGCTATGGTTCAGTTTTATTACAAAGATGTGGTGCTATTGATTACCTTTGCTTTTATAAAGATTTTGCGTTCCTCTGCATTCTTGCAGAGAATAGGCGTGTGGAACTGTTATATTTGCACCATAGGACTAGATGCACTGTAAGTATTTACCACATATCTAATGTAAGTTTTGTAACTTACAGATGTGTGTGTATTTTTTTAGGAAGGTGTATAAATGCTGTGTAATTTGATCACATACAGAGTAAATTCTGTTACAAAAAATGAAAGGAGGTGTCCAAGTTTGTTCCTTACCTTATTTTATTACAGTCAACATAAGTAAATTATGAGTTCAAAAGGTTAATTTACTTAATTCCAATTTACTTCCAACTGTGCCTACCGCTTTGCTTTATCCGTAGTGAAGTATCAGTTTGTTACTGGAGTCATTGCATACCAGTGGTTCTCCAGGAGGAGGTGACAATGTCTGGAGACATTTTTGGTTGTCCCAACTGGAGGTTGGTACTGATATCAGTGGGCAGGAGGCCAGGGATGCAGGTAGACATCATACGTTGCACAGGAGTGTCCCTCATAACAGAATTACCTGAGTAGTGCCAAGGTTGAAAAAAACCTGTTGTACACTGAGGATAAAAATTTATTTTGACGGTCTTTTTGGTGCCCATATGCATTTTTTCCTTTTAAGTGTGTGATACAGAAGTTCCTATGCCCTCTATTTCAGAAATAATTGGGTTAAGCTCATGCATTCTTACGTCCAAAATGACTCTATACAGTTATCTATTATCAGAGGCTAGAGTTGACATACTTTTGCTCTGGTGAATAACTTTGCTTGAATCCATGGAAGATTTATGAAAATTTGTTATTAGAAGTGCTTCTGTCTGTATCTATATGTAAAAACAGAGAAAAATATTTCCATTGGGTGTTTTTGTGTTTGTGGTTTGCAATGTAATCTGGCAAAAAATGATCCTACAGTGAATCATTCCTGGTATCAACTAAATGTATGGGCTGTTAACCAAATTCTGAGGTATTTTGACACTGTTGAATTTTGGGGTGTTGTAATGGTCGTCATTGTAACAGAATTTGTTTTAATATTAACTCTTTTGTATACACAGGTAAAAAACTGGGTCAAAGAATTACGGAAAATGTTGGGAAATGAAATCTGTTTATGTATAGTAGGTAAGCATCATTACTTTTTAAAAATGTCCTTTGTTTCCTTAATGCTTTTTAAAAGAATAATAAACCCGTAATTCTCATTTTAAAGTTATATGAGAAAAGAAGAAGAATGTCATTTTAATATTTAATATTTTAGAATAATTTAGTATTTGGAAGTGACCCTTGAAGGGATTCAAACCCTGAGCTTTAAGGAATTCCTTGGGCAGCAAGTGGAAAGCTAAACATACAAGGCTTTACATCCCAGCATTGCTTCAATTTGACTTTTAGTGTTTCACCGTAAGATTTTGTTTAGAAAAAACGTTCAGGAACTACTTTAAAATAAAACTAAAACTAAGACTTAAGCTGGCATTCTTGTTCTGTACATTTAACTATGTACATTTTTTAGTTAAGGCTCAAAAATTTGGCTCCAAGGATATAAGTAGGTCATGATACTAGGGTGGAGGAATATTCTTAGTGGATAAAATAATGGAACTTGAGAACTCTCTCTTGGACTTCTGGAATTTTTCTTTGGTTCTTTTTCTTTAGATTATTATTTTTATCATATAATAGCTAATTATTGAGCAATAAAGTATACCAGACACTGAGCTGTGTACTCAGTAGACACTATCTCATGTAATCCTCATAACCCTGTGAGGGCTTTATAGAGGAAACTGAGCCCTGGAGATGCTTAATGACTTGACTAATATCAGGCAGCTATCAGAGATGGAATTAGAACTGAAGTTATCTGACTCCTATGCTTATGTTATCAATCCTTCTGATGAATAGCCTCATGCTGTTTTCTTTCCACATGACTGATAGAGTGAAAATGGCCTGGGAGAACCAGGGGAGTTTTAGTGAGCTTTGTAGAATGAAATGGTCAGCATGGGCAAATTCTGCTTTTAGCCTTAAGAATTTTTGTTTTTAACTTGAGTTTATGATTCCTGCATTTTGTCACCATTAAATACATGATTGGTAAACTTTACAATTCCAGGTCAGGGTGTAGGTCTGGGAGACGAGGCTGAGGAGATGATCTGCTGAGTTTTAGTCTAGATACTGGATGTTAGGCTAGATGTCGGGAATATTTCAGACCAGAGCACTGGAGTAGTCGGCTACGTAGGCGTTTGGGGCCAAAGCTGTAGCTAGTTGTTAGTGAGTTTGGCCTGGTTTTGTGTGGTATATGGGACTTACTGAGAGTGGAAGTGTCCACAATAGATGAATAATGGAAGGTTTGATTATTTGGGATTCTGAGAGAAAGAAATAACTTCCATATACTGAAGAAAGCAAAGAAGCTTCAAGAGCTTGTTTGACCAAGGTTATAAAGTAACATTTAAAAAAATTAGCTGGATAAATAAGCTTATGAATAATTAACTTAAACTGTATATTCTTTATGTTGATATTATATTATAAGAAGGTTTAGAATTATTGGATCTGGTAGCTTACTACCCCAAGTAGGGTCAGATATTCTGCATTTAATGTTATGTAACATTTATTAATGAACAGTATAAGTATAAAAAGCTCTCACTCTCTCTTCTATTGGCAAATGTGATGTGGAATTTTAGTTGTAATTCAGAGTTGGAAGTATTTTGAGAGCCTATCTACCACAAAAAGAAAGTTTCACGAAGCTAATATATCTGTGTAACCAGTACCTTAGAAACCACTCCCCCGCCACCCCCCCAGCCACCACCACCAACCACCACCACCATGCTTCTTTCTCATCCCAACACTATCCAGCTGCCTTCCCCTCACCATCCCCCACGGCCAAACACTATCTTGACTATTTACTGCATGGATTAGTTTTGTTTTTAATTTTATATAATCGGAATCATATAGTATGAACTCTTTTTGTGTCTGGTTTCTTTGGCTTAATATTGTTTTCAAGAATCCTTTATGTTCTTGTATATAGTTGTAGTTCATTTTATTCTCTTTGCCATCTAATACTTTATGCTATGAATATTCCAAAGTTTATCCTTTTGCTGTTGTTGGACATTTGCATTATTTTTTCCAACTATTGATTTTCATTCTATTCTCTATAGTAGTTCAGTGTTTTATTGCTAGTAGTTTTATTTATAGTAGTTCTTCTATTTTATTACTAACTTCAAATAATAATACCTCACAGGATTGTGGTGAAAATTAAATAATGATTTGGAAAACACTTGGCATAAAGAAGGCATTTGACAAATGTTTGTTCCTTTCCCTTTACATAAGACAACTTTTGAAACATTTGAAGCCTACTTGGACGGTTCACCTATAGTCTTGTATTCTTGGTCTTCACATGTTTTTCATTTGGCCTTCCAAAATTTCTGATCATCCTGACTTTTTTCCTAGGTGTATTTCACTGTATAAGTGTGTCTCCTACACTTGATCACTAGAATCCAAACATTGTTGAGCCAGTGTATACTTATATGGCTCTCTCTTTAAAATCCTCACGCTGTCCTCCTACCAACATTGCCTGAGATTGTGTACACTTTTAAGCAGCCATGTCAAGTCAATGTCTTCTTTTACATAGATTATAGTTAACAAAACTCTGAATTCATTTTTTTTTTTTTTAGATTTTTTTGGGGGGGAATTAGGGGAGGAACAGCATTGGGGAATCGGGGAAAGGGAACAGACAAGTTGCTGTCCTTTTGTTCTTCAGTTTAGTTGTGGAGGACGTTGCTTCACTGGCCCATGTTGGTACTGTTATCATTGCACTCTTCTCGGCTAAGGCAGATCGGTTGCCGGCCTTTTGACTGCCGCTTATGCCGGCCGCTGGCTGCTCACGCCGGCTTCCGGCCACTCACGGTAGCTTATGGCAGCCCACTACAGCCTACGCTGTCACTGACGACTCATGGCAGCCCAGCTTCAGGTGGAGCTGTTGTTCACCATCTTAGCTGTAGAGGGCAGTGTCACTGGCCCTCATATGTGGGATCCAAACCAGGCCCTGCTGCTCAGAGCTTGCGCTCCCAAGCCAATTCTTAACCAAGTGAGCTGCTCGGCCCGCCCTGAATTCCTTTTTTGATAAGCATTACTCTTCTGTCAGGCTTTCCCATCTTGTTCTTATATAAGTATTTAAACCTAAGTGTAGGAATTCCAGTTTATATTGCTGAATCTTGTTTGATATAAATGTACCAGCTTTTTCATGTGTAAATTAGTCACTGAGCCTTCTAGGTCCTTATCTAAGCCAGCAACAGAGAACCCCACACTTCACTAGGAGAGACTGTTTTCCCTCTAGGTTTTAGTTAACCTACTGATCAGCACCCTTGGCTGCTGTTGTTCTGTTTGATAGTATTTTGCTATGTTAACATTTGCTAACTTATGTTTGGTAAACAAATATTTATTGTTAAAAGTTACCATTTATTGAGTGCCAGGTACTAATCTAAGAACTGCACATTGATTATTTCATTTAAGCCTCCTGTCAACAAACACTACAAGAAAGTATTGTTGCCATTTCCGTTTGACACGTGAGGAAATGAGCTTACAGAGCTTGATACTTCCCAAAGTACACCGCTAGTTGGAGATAAACCTGGGATTTTAATTCAGGCCAATACCCTTTACTAACACTATATATTGCTTACTATATACCAGGTTTTGGGAATACTATAGTGAATAAGTAAACAAAATTGATAATGTCCTGGTCTTCTCAGAGCTTACTGTGTAGGGAGGGAGAAAAACAAGGAATTATTATATATTATGATAAATGCTATGAAGCGGAAAGTAGTACAAATACAAAGTGCTGTGATAGCGCAAAAGCAAACCTAACGACTAACTAAATTTAGAGGGTGAGGTGTTAAGGGAAGATTTCCTAGAATGTTGGATTAACTAAGTTAGCAAGATGAAGCCAGCAGGGTGGTGGTAGAAAGCATGTTATCTATCAAGGGCTTTAATTCTCTCATAACAATATTGATTTTTGATTTGATGATTCTCTGTGATGAATATGGTTGATATTAATAACTACTCTTTATTGAGCATGCACTATATGCTAAGCTTTTTACATATATCGTATTTTTACACCCACCCCAAAGTTTGTTAGCTATATTTGTACAAAGTGAGACTAAGAGAGGTAAGTAATTTGCCTAAAATCTTACAGTTATGAAGTGAGCCAGGGCTTAAAAACAAGGTGTTTTTTTTCCAGATTTAACCCTCCGTCGGGCACAACTGATGTCACAGATTCATTGCACACATAGATGCCACTATGAAATACGTCTTTACTAAGTCACAAACACGACTGGCGATAGATTATGGTAGAGGGGGAAGATACGGAAGCGATGAGTCACGATATGTTAACTGTTAGATATTTGAAAATTTCTGTGAGGTCAGTTGCGCCCAACGGAGTTAAAAGGCTTTTGAAAGCTTTCCACTAGGCCAGACACCATCCGATCTAAGTAAAAAATGACTCTACCTCTTTATTGCTATTAGGCCATCTGCCCTTAGCAGTGGGTATATCCCTTCCATGTTCTTAATTCAAATATGTACTTTTAAAGAAGATAAAGTTTTTACTATTTTTAATCAGAGTGGCCTTTTTTCTACCTCTGAATAGCTTCAGGCAATTTTTTTTCTAACCTTTCTAGTACTTTACTTTTCAAGTAAGTGCTTATTTGGGGGGTTATCCTTATTTTCAGGTGTTTTAAGCCTATTAGAAAGTTCCCTGTCTAGCTGCTTCAATACTGTAGTATTGAAACGGTTATGAGCCTCAAAGCTTAATCCTTCAGCTGTCTTGCTTTAGAGGAACTAGAAAGGTTTCGATCTTTGCAAAGATATCAGTCACTAACAGGCAGTTTTCTGTGACGCAGTCTGTACTAACCCAGCAATGCTGGGCACTGATTGTTCAAAGAAATAGTAGTTATTTCATACAGGGATTAACATTTTTTTTGTTTAAAATAATAATTAGGTTATTAAAATAGGTATTTTAATGATAACTGGATTTATTAAAGTTAGTTAAGTATAAACGTTACAAAATAATAACACACTAAATAATTCCCCCCAAATAATTCATTTGAGGCAGTAAAGTTATTGTTTACTTTCCCTATCCTCATCTTTTTTTTTTTTTTTAAGATTTTTTTTTTTATTGGTGAATTGGGGGGATGGGAACAGTGCTGGGGAATTGGGGGAAGGGGGACAGACAAGTTGCTGTCATTTTGTTCTTCAGTCTAGTTGTGGAGGATGTTGCTTCACTGGCCCAAGTTGGCACCATCATTGCGCTCTTCCCGGGCGAGGCAGATCAGTCGCCGGCTTCTGGACGGCCGCTCACTGTGGCTGCTGGCCGCTCACGCTGGCTGCTGGCTACACACGGTAGCCCATGGCAACCCAGTGCCACAGGGACTGCAGCCCACGCCGTCGCAGGCGACTCACAGCAGCCCAGCTCCAGGTTGAGCTGTTGTTCAGCATCTTAGCTGTAGAGGGCAGTGTCACTGGCCCTCATATGTGGGATCCGAACCGGAGCCCTCTGGCATCCCAAGCGAGTTCTTAACCATCGCGCCACTCGGCCGGCCCAATCCTCATCTTTTTTTAATAGCTATTTATAACTCGGGTGGAATTTGAAAAAAGAGGCATTAAAGCTCTAGAAAAAGAGCTCACAGCGTTTTAGTTAATTGAAACCCAGTTCTCTTGGCTAACTCAAGGAGACAGTCCTGTTTCGCCTTTTTAAGAATCTTAATAGATATGTATGATATCAGGGGTAGGGGGCTGTGGGTGGGGGGAGGGGGGTTGTCACTTTGTGGGGGGTGAAAAGGATAACTATTGCATTGTTTTGTACACCTGAAACTAATAATAAAATAAAAAATAATAATAATAATTAAAAAAAAGAATCTTGTGCCTCTGTGGGAGCCACCGGCCACTAGGTGGTGCTTTTTGCATTCTTCATAGCATGAAACAACTTGTTTTTCCTGTGGTGACTGTCAAATATATTGGCTGTAATATTTAGCACATTATAAATTTTATTGGAAAGTATCAGGTAGGAAATAAGAACTAAAATGTATCTTCTTGCTGAGGTAGACAAATAACTGTTCAAAGAAGGAAGAGTTCATTACTGAATTTGTTGGTACCCACTGAGGTTTCGTGTAGCTCACCTCCCTCCCTCTCATCCTTAGGCTATGATGGCAAATAGTTGATTGCAGCTGCTCACAATTAGGTGCTCAGATTATTTGATGTCCTTCATAATAGAACCTCTGGGCTTGTACTCAGTTCTAAGCATTGCATTGCATCTTTCATTAGGTGCTTGCTTTGGTGCTTTATCTGAAATTGTCTTCTAGATTCTCTAAGGTCCCAAGAAAAATGATTTGATTTACAAGGTTTTCTTCCCCCCACCCCCCAAGTCATGATAGAAGAAATTAAAATATTTGTTTGAAGTGTCCTTCCTTAGGGTATTTTCCCCCATTCCTAGCTGTTATTTCCGTTACCTTTAGTACTCTGTCCAGCCAACTCTCTGCAACCTCTATCCTATATTTAATAAGGAATCTACATTTTACGGTTTTTTCACTTTTGTTCTGGTGGCTTTTTAGCATAATCTCAGTTTAATTCCCTTGTTTAAGGAGAGCTAAACTTATTTTCAGTAATTTAAAATCTGCATGATGTACTTATTGCGCATATATATATACATATATATATATTTAAATTTTTTTTTTCAATTTCCATTGACATACAATATATTCATTTAAGGTGTACAACATAGTGATTAGACACTTATATACCTTATGAAGTGATCCCACAATAAGTCTAATACCCATCTGACACCATTCATTGTTATTACAATATTATTGACTATATTCGCTATGCTTTACTTTGCATCCTGTGACTGTTTTTATATCTAACAATTTGTATATCTTAATCCCTTCCCCTTTTTCACTCATCCCTTTAACCCACCTCCTATCTCGCAATCATTAATTTGTTCTCTATATCTATGAGTTTGTATCTGTTTTGTTTGTTCATTTATTTTGTTTTCTAGATTCCACATATAAGTGAGATCATATGGTATTTGTCTTTCTCCCTCTGACTTATTCATTTAGCATAATGCTCTCTAGGTCATGATGTGCGTCGCAATATTCAGTTCTCTCATGTTTTTAAAACAAAGAGTACAGTTTCCTCCTCTGTGGTTTAAAGTGCTTAAAAAGCCATACAATTAATGCTTTCTTTAATCAGTTTATATCATCCAGGAAAACAACATACTCTTAGGATCCAATAGGCTAGAGCCTAATATATTTTCATGAACAGTAAGGTAGCCTTGCTTAATTATTGGCTGGCTCTAAGTTGATTGGGGACCATTTATACTTGGCTAAGAATCGTAGGTTTATCCCTAAGTTCCCTAGTGAATCTTAGTCCTTGTTATATCTTAAGTCAAGGAATAGTGCCCATCTCTTTGGAAAAGTTATTTTCTCTGACAGTTGCAGCTTCAGGAGGGCTATGTATTGAACCACTTGAGGGAGGTTGAGGCATTCACCTTGATAGTCATTCAACCCTCATGTCATAGTAGTTGACTTTATAGTTAGTTTTAGGACATTTAAAAGTCTGATGGGGTTTGTATTTTTTTAGGTGACTAAAATGGCAATTGTTTATTTAGAATTGGCTTAATTTTGTTATAAAAATGAATCAATATTAAAGATTGGCATTTGCCTTTTCAAATTAGGTAATAAAATAGACTTGGAAAAGGAGAGACATGTTTCCATTCAAGAAGCAGAATCGTAAGTGTTATCCCCTCCCTCCCAACCCCCCTTTCCCCCCAACAGTCACTCCCCAGTAGAAATCTTTATGGCACAGTGTGCTTTACCATTTAGAGATTACTCAAACCTCTTCATATATATTGAGCTATTGAATTCAGTGAAGCATGTTTACATTGGTAATTTTTAGACTTTCGGCAACATTTAAAGATATTCCACTCTCACTTCTCATTGATTTTAATAAAAAGCATTAAAGGTGATGCAAAAGAAAACTCTCATGATCAAATAGTCAGTGAGTCACAAAAACTTTTAAAGTATTTGGGTTCCAAATTAACTTAAACAAATTTTAAGTCTTGTTATATTTGTGTTCTTATTTAAAATTTAGTTCAATGTGTAGAGATGTTAAATGGCTATATATATAATACTAATTTTACTAAACCTAGGTTATTTAGTAATGTCACTAAAATTGCTACTGTAAAAAAATTCAAATAGCAGTCATGACAAAAACATGAAAAAAATATTTTACATTAGTCACTGATTTTTTTTTGATTTTTTTTTTAAGGTATGCAGAATCTGTGGGAGCAAAACATTATCACACATCAGCCAAACAGAACAAAGGAATTGAGGAACTCTTTCTTGATCTTTGTAAAAGTAGGTATATTCAGATTTAGTATGTTTAGAAATGGCTCTTTTTAAAATATTGCTGATATTTCTAAAGTTTTATTTTATAGTCTCCATTAATGACCACATTAATGATTTGTCACATCTATCAGTACTATTATTTATTTAATATTTTTTCTTTAACTCATTTCTTAACGCTTAAATACCTACTTTAGCTCTATTTCAAGCAATAATTAATGGCTATGAAATCTTATGTGTGTGGTATGTGCTAAATACACATTAAATATAATGCATAACTATTAATAGTAAAAATGGAGGGAGGGAATATAGAGATTAAAACAGATTTGAGAGATGTAACATGTTGCATTGGATGGACCTTATTTGGATCCTGATTTAACAGAGTAGTAAAGAACATTTGTGAGACAATTGGGATTATATGAACACTCACTGGATATTTGGTGATATTAAGAAATGATTGTAGGGACTAGGGGAGGGTGAAATGGCTGAAAGGGGTCAAATATATGGTAACAGAAATTAGACTTTTGGTCATGAGCATGCAATAGAGTATACAGATATTGAATTATAATGTTGTATACCTGAAAATTATATAATGTTATTTATTAACTGATGTTACCTCAATAAAAAAATAAATATACTTTTTTTAAAAAAGAAATTATTGTAAATGTTTTAGTTTTGATTATGGTACTGTGGTTATGCTTTAAAAAAGAGTTCTTATCTTTTAGAGGTTATATTAAAATTATGAATAAAATTGTATCTGGGATTTGATTCAAAATGATGGATGGTAGGGATGCTTGCCAGGTATTGTGTGATGGACATAATGGATTTTCATTGTGCTAGTCTTTCTACCTTTATACATATTTGAAGTTCTCAATATTAAAAATTTTTTTAAAGAGAGAAAGGAAAATGTTTGTTTATATACAACTTTAAAGTAATTTCTCTTATCACCAATAAAATATGCGTACCATACTTTGGAAAACCCTAGTCCATGGAACAATGGATTAAAATGATTTTGTCAAATCATTGAACTTATGGACCTCAGACTCATAAGCATTTGATGAAACTATGGTTTTTCTCTCTAGAAAAATGTACATATACACAAACTTCGGGGTAAGTTTCAGTTCTATGAAAACCTGAAGGTCATTCATAATTCTTCTAGAGTAGTAATTTCTCAGTGAGGCATCAGCATTACTTGAGACTGTGTTAGAAATACAAAATTTGGGGCCCTACCCCAAACCTGAATCAAATTTTCAGGAGGGTGGTACCCAGAATCTGTGTTTTAACAATCTCTCCGTATGATTCGGATGTACACTTAAATTTGAGAATCACTGCTGTATATACCAGTCACTTGGGGATCTTGTTAAAATGGATATTTTGATATAGTGGGTCTGGTGTGGGCCAGAGTTTCTCATTTCTAACAGCACCCAAGTGGTGATGATAATGGTTCTCAGACCACACTTTGAGGACCAAGGTTCTAGATCAGGGTTTAGCAAACTTTTGAGACGGAAGAGCCAATCCTGTCCCTCACAACAATTTAAAAATTATTCGGGAGCCATAAAACAAATGAAATCACCATTATGTGAATAATATCCTTTAAATTTTTTATAAATGAAACTATGATAGTTTTATTTCATTTTCAATTTTACTTCAGAGCTATATGTACTTACCCAAAGAGCCGCATGTGGCTTGCGAGCCGCGGTTTGCCGACCCCTGTTCTAGATCATTTACTTATAAATGCTATCAATCTCACATCTTTAATAAAATTTTTTTTTGAGTATTCTACATGTTTATTTAAAAATAGAGTACAAATTCTAATATGTTTTGTACATTATAAAAACATAAAAAAATAGAAATTTTTAAAGGTTGAGGAAAACTTTAGAAGTTAGAATTTATAACATTTTCTAATTCCATCTCAGTGGATTGTCCCACACACCTCAATCTGGAAACCATTGTTCAAAAGCAGTCTCTGGACTCAAGTTTAAGAACCCTCATTCTATTTTAAGGACTCCCTCTTTTCTTTCCTCACCTTTTCAGATACATATTTTGCAAATATTTACTCTTGTATTTTCATTTTTCTTTACTGTGTCAAGAGCAGAAGTTCTAAATTTTAATGAGGTCCAATTTAATCAGCTTTTTAAAAAAAGATTTTTATTGGGGGATTGGGGGATGCGAATAGCGCTGGGGAATTGGGGGAAGGGGAACAGACAAGTTGCTGTCGTTTTGTTCTTCAGTCTAGTTGTGGAGGACGTTGCTTCACTGGACCAAGTTGGCACCATCATTGCGCTCTTCCCGGGCGAGGCAGATCAGTTGCCGGCTTCTGGACGGCTGCTCACAGCGGCTGCTGGCCTCTTACACTGGCTGCTGGCTACACACGGTAGCCCATGGCAACCCACCGCAGCAGGGGTTGCAGCCTACACCGTCGCCGGCGACTCATGGCAGCCCAGCTCCAAGTCGAGCTGTTGTTCAGCATCTTAGCTGTAGAGGGCAGTGTCACTGGCCCTCATATGTGGGATCCGAACCGGGGCCCTCTGGCATTCCAAGCTAGCTCTTAACCAATGCGCCACTCGGCTGGCTCTAATCAGCTTTGCTTTATGATTTGTGGTTTTTGTATCTTATATGAGAAATCTTTGCCTAACTCAAAGTCACTAAGATTTTCTCCTACAGAATTTTCTAATGTTTTCTTCTAGAAATTTTATGTTTTACATTTAGTCCTGTCACTCATTTTTTGTTAATTTTTGCATGTGATGTTTATTTTTTACACATAAATATCCAGTTCTAGTACTGTTTCTTGAAAAGATTGCCCTTTCTTCATTGAATAATCTTGGCACGTGTGTAAAAAATCAAGTGACCATATATATGGGGGTCTATATACCTGGACTCTGTTTCATTTATCTCTGTATTTCTCCTTTCACCAATATCTGTATTCATTAGAGTAACTTTCTACTATATCTTGAAGTCAGACAGTATGAGTCCTCCAGCTTTATTCTTTCTTATCTGAAACTCTTTTATTCCTTTAAATACAGTTTACTAGTTGAAGAATAAATCTTGTAACCTAAATATCACTTGTACTTGGAACAATTTGGACTTCTTTGACATATTTCTATCATATTTCTAAGATATTTGGAATATCTTAAGGATTATACATATATAGTTGTTTGCTCAAGCAAAACCTTTTTTTCCCCCTATTGATATCACTGTGGTCATTACACATCTGGGCAAATACACTTGCTATTAATTTTTTTAAACTTGCAGGAAAAGCTGTTTAGTAAGCTGAACAAATGTTTATTATATTTAGTTTCCTACTTGGTTTAAAGTCAGAAATGGTTATCATGGTGGTATTATGAAATTAAAGAAAGAGAAAACTGAAAAGATTGTGGTCCTAAATATTTCCTGCTTTCTTGTTCTTACAGGGATGATAGAAACAGCACAGGTGGATGAAAGGGCAAAAGGCAATGGCTCCAGCCCACCGGGAGCTGCAAGGCGAGGTGTACAGATAATCGATGATGAACCTCAGGTCCAGAGCGGCGGCGGAGGGTGCTGTTCTTCTGGATAACTGTTCCCACCTGAGAAACTAAAACAAACTGTGGATCATTGCCCTCAACATGAAGACTGCCATATTCCAAGTCACGTTATTTTACCAATGGAATTATAGAATTAACAGTATTTTAAATTACGTTTATAACACTGCAGAGACCTTAAGTGCTAAACTTAGTGGAGTTTGTGACCAGAGAATTGGCATTTTCTACAAATGTTAACAAAGCAATTACCAATGGCCTTTTTACATATTTTTTTCTTTAATAAGGAATAATATGCATGTAGAAAAGACCTACTTAAAGGCTTCATTTATATTCTTTTAAATCAAATCTTTATTTAATAACTTATATATGTTGTTGGAATGGTATACATTTTGCAGCCCTTTGTATTTTGTGGTAGTTTGAATTGTATCACTTCTAAACAGCAAACTTTTTTTTTTTTTTAATTAGCAGATACCTGAAGTACTATTTTTGCAGGGTTTGCACAGGCCCGTAACTGTCTACTACTTTGATATAATCTATATACATCCTGTATGCTGAGCTGGTAAAATACATTGTAAATTACATATTAAATATTTTATCTGCTTTTACAAGCGCAAGGTGCAAAAATATATATAATAGTCTCATTGATGACTGTAAAGTGATTAACATTTGGTGATAATGCCTAAGCTTTTGACTCTGATATAAAGATCATAGCTCCCCTTCACTTTTGTCTTAACTTGAAAGTGGCGTGTTTAAATTTTCACATATACTTTACTTGAATTATTGCTGTTGTCACATGTTTTTGGCCTCTGTAAGTCCATCCGATGATTGAACAGCAGCATTTGCCTTTTGGTTTGGTTTTGGGTTTTTTTTTTTGGTTTTTTTTTTTAATAAAAGAGATAACTTCAGCCAATTTTGCTTTAGAATGGTTACCTTAGAAGTATTCGAGTGGAGCATGCTGAGTTTCACTTCTGCCACAGCTTTAGTTTTCTTTAGGCTTTATATGAGCTGGGTTCACTGGTGTGAGAAGAGAGGAAGAGGTCCCAGATAGCAGCCACTCAACAAGAATTATTCATACAGCATGTTAGTGGTAGTTATGCTCCTAAGGCAGCACTTTTAGATCCTTTGTGAGCAAGTTGTATTTGTTCAATGCTTGCCAGAAATGAACACAGAAAGTTTCGTTTCATTTTTATAAGAGCTATTCTCCTGAGTTTCTGTGAAGGGAAACATTTCATGTAATGCAGTTATGGCGAACACTGGAAAGATTTATTATAAAATTATATTCTTGTATACTTTGTAAATTAGTCTCATTAGGTTTTTTTCTTAAGCATAGGACTGAACTTAAATTTGTTAATTTTAAAAGAATCAGGCACTGCTCACAGAAGGAACACAAATTGTAGAAAGTAACATAAATTGTTCTTGTTCTAATATATATATTTTTCCATTTCTGTCATGCTTGGAAAACTAGTAAATGTTATGTCTAAGATAAAATGGAATGGTTCCTGGATCTACTTCTTATAAGAAGCAGTAGTATGCAATAAAATTGTTAGCATGAGCAATTAAGAGGACATAAAGAGGTTATAGTTACTAAAGAAGTACTACCATATTTTTAAGGTAATAGCTTAAACTTCCCCAAATGTGTTAAAAGTTGAATGAATTGACACTTTGATGTTATGATGTTAGGATTTTAACTTAGTGTTAATTTAAGGGTTCTGTGAGTCCTCACTTGACCTTTTTAAATTATTGTACTTGTCAAACTCAACACACTGATCTCTATTGTGTGTGTTTGGAGAGGGTGGTGGGTGGGAAAAATCAAGGAAATAAGTTAAACTTGTCTTCTTTTATGAGATGACTGTACTCTGTGTAGTCTCTCGGTTTCTGTGAAGTTAGAGTTTATGCAGGGGTTTGGGGGAGGCAGGGGAATCATGACTACAGATACAGGAAAATTGTGTTTGCCCTCCTGGTTCTTGCAGAGGTAGTAAAGAAAGCCTTGCCATTTCTACTGTTGCAGATGGGAAATAAACTCTTTCCCTTTGGAGTGAAATATGTTTTTTAAACTAATTAGAGATGAACTTGAGCTTTATTCCAAAAAATAAAGTCATAAAGCCTGATCATTGGAGAGTTGTACTCTCAATTTTTGACCCTATAAAGTCCAGATAGGAACCCATGCTCCGGAGTTGCGAGGTGATCATTGGTGGAAAAACCACTCTCCGTATTTTTTCCCTCTACTCTGCTTTGGTTTCTGTGTATCTTTGTTAACCTCAAGCATTTCATTCCTTTTTAAACCTTTAAGCTAACTGAAGCTAATTCAACAATAACAATAGATAACATGGGAGACCTGTCCTTGACCTGAAGCCCGAAAGGTCTTTTGGTAGGAATAGGATGGAAGGGTAGTGAAGGAGGACCAATCAATTGCAGAATGTATACAAAGGGAAGATAAAGAGAGGATAAACCAAGGCTGAGGACATTTTTCTGATACTTTCTTCACCTCTAATATATTTTTTGTGTTCCTGTCCTTATAACTGTGCTACTAGGAAGAAGACACAATTAATGGGTCGTGTATTAAAAGTAGTAGGTAGGTAGAATTGATATATTTTCAACTAGTAAATGTATATATAATTAAAAATTGGCTTAACATAGTCATTAAAAATATTTGAATATTATGTTAAAAGTATACAATTGTTTCTATAATGATGATGGGTATTCTGCTGCTTGTTTGGTGATTATAGAGGAATACTATTGTTTTTAAAAATGTACATTGCAACAATTTGGAGGTAAACAGTAAACCTGAAAAGAGAAAAGCATCACATTACTGGATGAAATACGAGTGTTTGTGTTGTTCTAGGGATACCTCCGGAAAATACCCTAGATCTGTGACCGTTACAGCTACATTGTGAAATGTTTTTTATATTAGCCATATATTATTGGTGATTACTTTTTATTTGGCATTAAAGTAAGAAAGAATATTTCAGTTTTAGCTTTTCAGTAAGAAAAGGCCAACTTTGGGACTAGGGAAGAGAGGGTAGGGAGGAGTGGAATGGAAGTCATGTGGACATGAAACCACAACCTGACAATTTAAAAAATAATTTTGAAAAATATGTTCCTTTTATCACATAGTTTCTAAATAGGACAAGCTATTCATTGTGCCAAATATTTAGAACATTTAAAAAAATCAATTGTTATGCTATTTATTTTCTTTTAATACATAATTTGCAACTTCCTATTATTATAAATGCCACCAAGAGTCTAGATCATTGATCTTATATTATTTCCAGATAATATAATTTACCCTTATAATTACCTCTTATGTTATCTCTAGAAGTGGTTTGATATGTGCCTTTAACTTCTGAAATGTATCTTTTGACTTCTGTTTGCCATTGTAGTTTTTATAGTGTTCTTTATAGTTACAGTACGACAAAGAGGGAATACTTAATTTGGGACCATTTGATGTTGAGATCTAGAAAGGGGTGTAGATAGTAGTGACCGACAGTAGCCTCACAATAATGTCTAAAGATGTAGAGACCGAGTAGGTCTAGGTCCTTAAGTATTCTTTACTAAATTACAAAATGCATTACCTAGATTTTCATAACTAAAAGCTGGGATTCATTGAACATACATGTTGACTTAATTTTGTAGTAGGCATTGATTCTAGTTTGTTGCTATTCTGTAATTTTTATTTTAATCAACCAATACAGTAATGTATTTAGTGTTGTGGGCCAAAATACATGCTACACATATGTCTGACTTTGGTGGCTTTTCCCTTTTCAAGAAAACAAACTAATTACAATTCTGAGCAAATTTACCTAAATGTAAATATTTTAGCATTAATCATATGTAATGAAAAAAATTTAGAAGTACTCTTAAGAGTTTCCAATTTCAAACAAAAATGCTCTGCTTCTAAACAAACATCACTTTAATATATATCTTGTAGCCCTTTAGCACTACTTGTGCTATCTGGGATTTATGTTATCAGCTCTTTTCTGAGAAGCTGAGAATGCTTTTGAGTATTAACCTTTCTACTGCAACATTTTCTCTGCAGTAGATAATGAATATATGGCAAATTAGTGTTACATAGTACACCCAGCAAGAAAACATCTTGTTCTCTTTAGAAGCCTGCACATATTTCCAGATACATCGCATTAAAGCCAAAAGATGGGCCTGCCTGCTTAAATGACCTTTATTCCCACAGTTCTTACCTTGATTTTGATACTTTCTGGTAACTGTATCATCTCTTCATTATCAAATACTCAAGAAAAAGCTAATATGATTTCCTTAAATTTAAACTTATGTAGGGCAATGAGAGAAAGGTGAGGGAGAGCAGGAATAAAGTATAATAATGTTGAAAAATAGACAACAGTGGTATTTGCTAAACTATCTTCTTCAATAGCAAACTATTTTAAGGAAACTATCATATGTAGTATTTCCTAGAAATGTAAAATTTCTTAATTTTGTATTTAATTATCTAAATAAGAATATATTCTAGGAAAAAATAAAAAATACAGCTATTGTGAAAGTGCCCCTGGGTTACCCCTTCCTTCCAAATGGTAACTATTGCTCTCTAGTATATACTCTTCAATTACCTTTTTGCTATGCATTTACATACATATATATTTACCTATAGGAAATACATAGTTTTGTGAGTTTTAAATTTTTACATAAATTGTTTTTACTATTCACTTGTTTTGCAACTTGCTTTTTTCTCTTACCAACATGTCTAGGAGCTCTTAATGTCAATATAACAGTCTTTCATTTTATTTTCTCCCACATCTCTTTGGGTATGTTTTGCCTTTTTTAATAACTTCTGACTCTCCATGAAGCCTTCTCAAAACATATCTGGTCAATTAGGTAGACTTCATTAGAATCACAAAGTTTTAATGTAAACCAGTGTTTACCTTAGAATCAGGGTCTCCATTAAGTATGTGAATCAGGAAATTAGAAAGGCATATGCTTACAATTCATTTAAAGTACATTACTTTTGGACTACTGTTGACTGATTAATATGTAAAATCCAGGAGTTAACTTTAGCAGATTATTTATTCATAATAGGTTTTTATTTGAGGGGAGAAAGAAAAAGAGGAAAGGTATAGTTGATAGGGAAAAAGTACAGGGTAAAATAAAGTCTTTATACAACTCTGTGTAGTTATGTAACATGACTTCATGCTACCAAAAATTTAAACTCTGATCTGTGCCTTTAATAATAGAGGGAAAAATGAAAGTTCTTTTTCAGATCTCCCTTTCTTCACCATCCCACATACCTCTTTAGAGGTAACCATTATTAACAGTTTGGAGTGTGTCTATATCTCTGTCATATAAATGTTTTTTATTTATATTTGAGCTTTATATGTTTTCAGTTCCCTGAAAGCAACTTACACCTTATGTCAAATTCCATCCTCAATCAACTGACCAACTTAACCAAGAACAAACCAGATTTCCACTTCTTTAAAGAAAGTTAAATCAGTCATGACAGCTCTTGAACTGGAAGCTAACTCCTGACCCTGAAGATGTTTTATGTTTATCACAAATTAAGCTTAAAGAATAACCATAGCATTCTGGGAAAGTCCAATCAAATTATTGGTTTCTATCCACTGTGGAAATAGGGCTGGGAAAGAGTGCAAGTCCAAGCTCCTTAATACCCATGTAATTTGGAGTTGGGCTCATTCTCTTGGCATGTTTTCCTGTTTGGGGGACATTGCAATGTCCCTAACAATTACCTTAGATACTTCTCTATTGTCAAGGCTGTAACTTAACATGTTATGTTAATGCTGTGACATAAAGTTAAATGTGTGTGTCCCAGAACAACATGTATTCATATTTAATGAAAGCAATTCAGAAAGGAATTGAAGCACAACTTCCTCTGATTTTGTTAATAACTATTTCCAGATGATCTTTTTAAAATGTATAAACACATTCTGCTTATGACTATTCTATCAATTTCACTCATTTACTGAGAGCTGCTGTGTGCCCAGTTCTCTTTGTAGTTACAGCTTAAAATTGGGGAACTAATAACCATTGCCCATAGTCCAGATGTAAGTAGTTTTATCTGTGGATATGACGTCAGCTAATCACACATGTTTACTTCCTGTATTTGATCAGATATGTACCAGTCAAACTTTTGGGGGGAGGTAATTAAAATGACAATAGTCAAAGTTGGTAGTGAATTTGAAGTAAAGCTGGATGGAATGATTTTGAGTCTTGCAAATAATTTTCAAACCAGATTAAAATAGAATAACTTGTTTTCTAGCTTCAAGGGGACAATTAAGTGATTCTCAAGCCCAAATTGCTTTTCCAAATTTTGTGGTAGTGAAGAAACCAGATGCCTTTTGCTTATTTAGACAGCTGCTCTTTTCTTTAAACTAGAAAAAAACGCACTTAAAAAGCAGTCATCTTGTTTTCCTTGCTTTTGACAGATGTCATCTTGTCACCAGACAGTAACCCAGGACACAATCCATTATTGGGTTATAGGCCCATTTGGAGGCTGTAACACAGTATACGTTGTAAATTTCTAAATAGTTTCCAATTTGAGAATATGGGTCCTCTTTTTTTTTTTTTAACCTGAAAATGAAGACATTGGCCAGAAAGATAGCTTAACGAATATCTGAATTTTCTGCTAATGTTTCCAGTAACTTGTAAGGTTATATATATATATATATATATATATATATATATATATATATATATATATATATAGGTAAGTATATTATTTAAAGGTAACAAATTATCTAGATCCCTTCTTGACCCGTTTGGGAGAAAATAGAGTGAAATCATTGTTAAACTATTTCATGAGCCAATTATCAAGAAGTAGTTTCTTTATTTGCATTAATTCATCCACATTAATTTACAAAAGGTGAATAATTTGAATGACTTAGCGACTGTTCTTCAAAGTGTAAAAGCCCTTGTAAAGGAAAAACTATATAGAAGAGCAAATGCTTTGAAAATGACGGGCTGTCTCCAGGGTGACAATCCTCTTGTCCAAAAGCTGTAAAATATAAAAACTCCACCTTCTCTCTGTCGAATCCCATATTGATCTTTTCAAGTCTGAAAATGTTCTTTAACTGAAGTGGCATGAGTAGCTCCTCCCCTTCAAAGATTTTAAGGCTAACAATAATGGCAC